ATCCCTGTCGATCTCGGCGGATGGGAGACGACGTGACACGGAGAGAAACCGATCACCGTCCAAGTGACACGGAGTGGACGGGTTGTGACACTCAAGGGCTTCCGCGTAAGCCAGGCTTCTCGCGGGACGAACGTTTTAGCTTTTGATGGCCCTGAGGTCTATCTGATAGCACCAAATGGCAGGATAGACCTCAGGTGAAGCTCCAAAACCCTGGGAGGTTGAGCATGTGTCGTACAAGGTCGCGCGGTTTTGACCCATAGCTAGATGTGTTGAAAGAGTGGTGCCCAAGCATCTCTTCCTGCATCCTAATTCGTCGTTTGCATGTTTAAAAAGACGTGTATAATCGTGTATATATATATATATATAAGCACCACCTCCGATTCCGCCACCTGCTTGAACTGCCCGAAAGCCACGCTGCTCCTCGAAACGAACCTTGATGCTGTCTTCCCCATTGATGTCTATGAGCTCACCACTGTACCTGGAGCACAGCCAGCCTTCTCTTGGGTCTACATCGTGCTTGTGTAGAAACCTCCTTCCAACAAGCAGGACATGACAGTAGTGGGAAGTGGGAACTGGATCTCCACATTCTGTGTGCTGAGGGGGACGGTGCCATGGACACCACTGCGGTTCAACATCACAACCCAGGACATCCCAGGACACCACTTGGGGTCATCCAGAGGTTGCAACACCTCAAAATGGAATCGGACTCATGAACAGGAAATGCACACCTTCAGGTTTGCTTGTTTTCACACCTGAGGCTAAGATCTCGATGCGAAGCATCAGGAACCTCCCATAATCTTGGCTGAACCATCTCCGCGTCAGTATGTCTCATCTTCTAGCCATGGCCATAGCTTGGATTCCTCATGAGAAAGCTCCTACTTGCTGGGACTCGACTCCATTTCCTTCCTCAACCTTCTGACCCCAATTTTGCTGGAACATCCGTAATTATCACATGGCCAACTATAGGAAGCTCAATCAGGACGGGAAAAACAACGTGCTTTCTCTTGTGTTCTCGGAAAACACTGTTCTCCACCTGTTTTCCCGCTCTTGCACTCCCACTCACTAACATGGAAGTGGAAACCACAAAGGATCACAAAGGAACATCGTCTTCCCAAGGCCATCACTTCCACTCCATGACATGTGAGTCGGAGTGTACATGAGTGTACCTTCCCAATGCCATGGGGCGCACCAGGTGGTGGACTTCTGATGCTTCCGCACCTCCACCGGCGTCCCATGGAACCTCGGTCGATGCCGCGGGAGGCGGACGTCTCGACGTGGCAGAATCACCAGGGAGTTTAACCGAATAGCAATGGCCTCCAACCTAGTAGTATACACATCTCACCGTAAAGGCCGCAACCGATCGAAACCGCACGATGCGTCGATGCGTATGTGTTCGTTAGTTTGGCCGTTGGGTGAAACAGCCTGCTTTCCTCTGTGGCTTGACCATCTTGCTAATTGCACCCGTCATATCCTGTCATGGCTCGATTATTCACAGCGCTCTGTGCTGTTTCATGCCAGACTCAAAATCGGACATGGATGTGCTCGGTGCTTTGTACATACGTGGCGCCAGTTGTCTTGCCGCATACGCAAAGACTGCACGTACGGAATGTAGTACGGAATGTATATATATAATATATATAATTATATACATAAATATATATATATATATATTTATATATATATATATTATGTCGTACATTGACACCTGAACCCCCCAATTGTGCCATGCATGGAGAGTTTGGCATAAGTTTCGACACTGTTTGTCCCGGATGATTTGAAGACCTCACTATCAACCCTGCCAGGTCCTCCCAGCCAAAAACCTTCAGAAGATTCAGAAATCCTAAGCAAGTCATTTTCATAATTCCAATATTCTTGGCTAATAGCTTTACGGATTTTAGTACTAGCTCTCAGCTGCTCACAAACATAGAGGCTTATGCAAGTCCCAAATTATGCAGACTTGGCTTTCCTGATCAGTGACCTGCAAAGCTATGATTATTGGAAACATTATGAACCATTAATTACTGACTAATCACAGAGCTAAAACCACGTAGCCAAAAACACAACACTGACCAACCTCCCATGCTTGATGTCTCCAGCCGTGTTGTCTTGTTTTTCACCTATCTCAAACCCGAAAACGATCCAGCACCGTGCGGAGCTACAAGAGATCCTCTGGGCTCACGGCGCCATGGCGGACGCCAAAACCGGAGTTCGTCCGGGCCGTGGATGCGAGATGCCGACGACCTCGTACGGTGTCTTTGTTGGGTGGATGGACGAACGGTTGAGGGCGGTATGTTTGTAGAACGGTAGAACCGCTGTTTTCTTCCCGCACCTCCAGGCTGAAATGATCTCTTTTCGACATTTACTTGTCAGGGGTTCCGTGGCGTGGTTAAGTCTTGCAGGTCTGAAAGTAGGCCTAAGTAGGCTTGTGTTCAATGCTATTGACCATTAACCAACATGATCCAAATTGATCCAACATGTATTAATACCTGTCCGTTGCATGCCGGCATGTCTTCGCAAGATCACTCCAATGTGCTGGAGTCAAACATGGTTTCGGTGCTCCTCAAGGCCCCTTGAGATGCAAAACAGCTCGGAACAGTCAGCAACAATTCCACCGTCTGCAGGTACTTAGAATATCCTTTGGCACTTGCTGAGGATCCTTCACTTGTTTCATCTTGTTTCGAACTTCTCTTAGCCGTGTCCAAATGCTTACAAGATTCGTTCATCATCAGTATCTCAGGGACATTGTGTACTCCCAAGAAGCGCACAGTTTGCCTCCCTCCTCTCTGAAGGATTTGCCCAGCATATTGAAACATCATCAACTTTCCCAACCACCCAAACATGCGACGTCATCGTGGTGATATGAATACGAGTAGGATCTAAAATGATTCAAGCAACCGTTCCCTTCCAAGTATAGAGGGCTCACGAATCGAACAATGTGTCATGTCATGTGATTTCCACGTGAACGGCTGGTTTGATCAGAACCTGTTGATGACATTTCCTGCTTTGAATAGAGAGTTTGATGGACCATGAACATCCAACCTGTTCATCTTCAGAAACAAATGGCTCCAAGACAACAAGACTTGGAACACTCGGATGATGAAGTACAAACGCGGAAACAACTGTTTGATTTCGATGCCTTCTCGGTGCAGATGTGTTTTTAGCGTCGGGGTGCTGCTGCGGCCGGCGTTCTTTTGTACCTAAGTCTTCTCCGGAGCTTTCTTTGGGACGTCTGTCAAGCTCAGACGTCGCATGCCCACACCCACCGGTGTGGTTCGGTTCGGAGAGCCCGGAGGACGAGTTCGTGCCACCGACAAGTGTCAAACCGGGTGAACCGGTATAGTGGCCCAGTTAGGACGAAGTGACTGGCGAAGTCATAATGTCATGGTGAATCAAGTTGAATCATGTTGAATCAACTTAGCTGCATTAAACGCACACAAACACACCCACGACCTCAATCCTTCTTCCTTTGCTTGCACGTTGAAAAAAAAACTCTCTAAAGGATGCCTCCGGCCTCTGCAAACCATGGCGATTCTGACGCGACTCTCCTCGCGTCTCACCGTTCGCCCGACCTATTAAGGGACCGGGCGGGTGGTTGAGGTGGCGTCCTCGCTGCGTTCGGCGGCGGGAGGCGTCCGTGTGGCGGCTCCTCTGGAGGCGCCCAGCTCCCCCCCGACGGCGCCGTTGAGTTGCGGCCAACCCTGGCCGTGGCCGGGAAGGACCATGGTGAGGTGCGCTCTCGGTACAAGACGAAAGAAGGGATGGTATGGCGATTCACTCGACTCATCCCTCTGTTGGGGTCTGACTGTCAGGAACAAGTGAACACCGAACTGGATCCTGATCCAGTCAGGGCAGTTCGATCAACTTCTACCTGACTCATCCTGACTCCAGATTGACAGGTTTAGCAGGAACATGGCTCAACCAAAGCATCCAAATTCACCTGTGAGTCCTTCAGTCTGGGACGGCACTTAAGAGGTCCGAACCATGTAGTCCGAGCGGGAGCTTTCACCTGTTGTGGAACAAGATTACAGAACATGTGGCTGCAATGATCATGAGGACATATAGCACTCTCTCCAGAACACAACAAAACATGCCTACATGCATGATGATCAGCTGTACTGCAATTCAGGACAAGACAAAGGAAAAGAGCGCTCCTACCTAACGCCCGACCATCTTGTTCCACATCACAACGAAGGGGCGCTCGAACTGGTGGACCCTCGACATTCCACATAGTTCAAAAAAGAAAAAGGCACCTGAGAGTCGGTCAAACCGATTTGATGAAGGTAAAAGCACATCAAACACACCCTTAGAGTCTGTCTGTGTCGGTCAAACCGCTGTCTGTGTCAGTGGAACTGCACAAAGAATTCATCCCCCTGTTTCATGTCAGGTTAGTCCTGCAAATGCTTTTGATTCCGTGGCAAACAATTCAAACGTGATCAAACACAAACGTGTCTCTAGTAGTGTCCTTGAGGTGAGAACTCTATTCAATTTGGGTCGGAAAATCATGGCAAGATGCACATCTCTTGACATCTCTTGACCGACTGCTCGGGCTGAAAATTCTGGGCCGCTAGTCCGACGGCTGTGCTGCCTGGGATGAAGTTGCCAGAGTTGAAAAGGATCCCTTGAGGCGCCGACCGACCATTGAGGGTACCAATATGCAGGGTGAAAATACCGCTACCAGCGGTTAACTGCTCGGTATGTGAGTTGGGAACATGGTTTATAGATGTTTAATGTTTATTGTTCCACTCCCAGCTGAAGTGTTTTATCTGGTTTTCCTGTATGGCTTTACAAACCTTGTTGAAGAGGCTGTAAACGATATTGGTATATGGGCCTGGGTCTGTTAGTTCAGCCACTGGGGAGTAAAACCTTCCATGCAAGATTGAAAATTAGTTGCCCAGGATTAGAGAACCTCTGGCCGGGACTCCGGGACCCTCTTCTCTATTATACATTTTGTTGAGCGACACTAACACTATCCACTGTAGCCTTGATGCTTCATCTTGCCCCTGGAAACAAAATAAAGCCATCCCACCTTCGAAACGGCGCTGGCCGTCGGTCGCTGCAGCGCTGGCTGCGCTCACTTGGTGCTTTCATGATGCACCACCTTCCTCTTTCGTGAAAAAAGGGGGCAGCACTTCGAGCCCTGGCGTCGGGGCTCGGACGAAGCACGGCCCTGGCGGCGTACTGACAAGGAAGGACCGACAAGTGGAACGAGGCGAAGGTACGAAGTGGAACGAGGCGTGGGGTCGAGGTCGTGTGCGAACAGGAGTGTCCCCATCCAAGAGAGACGAAACAACATTTAAACATATTTGTTCGATTTTACAATGCTTTAGATATTGGAGATGTAGCCATTGGGTCAGGACTTTCCACCTAGTGTGGCTGAGTCTGCTGATGCCTGGGAGTATAGTTTCATCCTTTAGTTGTGTGATGGAATTTGGTCGTACTGGATGCTCATCACACTCAGTTTCCAAAATTGTGTTGCTTGAGTGGACTGCATCGTCTCTTGCATTCCAGCACAGAAGTGGCAGGCCACATGCTGGACCTGAGAGAGAACCAAGGCCCGAAACACGCATGAGCCAGTTCCGCACAAATGTGAGTAGTGGCGTGTACAGTGGGTGGCAGTGGCTCACGCCATGTGGCCCCTTTTCACTGCACACGCGTATGTACTTTCAACGCATGGATCGCACTGCCGGTGTTTCTTTTGAAACTAGGATTGGGACAGTCATTTGTGCAGCATCTACTCTCTCACCCGTTGCTGTAGTCGCTCGCTGAGTTGGCTTCGTCGGCAAGGGCAGGGCAGCCGTCGCTTAGGTAATGATGTGAAGTTTGACGGGATGTCATGATGTCTGACACATTGGGCCCACCTCGGGCCCATGCCTGTGGACAATTGCGTCAAGGTGGGTGGGTGGTCGCCACACACCCCTCTGTGACGCGGTATGCCGTGGCACGTACCGCTGTCTTCCAAGGCGCTGAGGCGTTCGTTCTACTGCTTTTGAAGTTCACTGGGAACAGGTCAAACACCAACCCAGAAAGAAACGCATGAGCAGGACACAACAAACACCAACCCAAATTGCTATAATATACACCGATATGTTTCAATGATTTCTAAATCACATGCCTCAACCATGCCTTATAACCATTGCCTATACAGTTCTTCTTTGTGGGTGGGTGATCAGCTAAACGGAGCTCTGCTCACACAATTCCTGCAGAAGGTCGCGTCCGTCCGTCTCCATCTCTGGCGACCCTCTGAGCTCCAGACCTTCTGTGCACGATCCTTGTTGAGAGTGGGCAAATGGGTCACGGTCCCAAAGGAGCTGTTCTCCGCCTGTCGAGATCAACGAGTCTGCGAAAGCGTCTGGAGAGGCAAAACGGTGAGCGAAAAAGCCCGGCATATCTGATGCGGCCTATCTGCAGGTTGTACATGGGATATATCCATCACAGCAGCAGGTTTTGAATCCTACATGCTCCAACATCCTTCGGTGCGCAAACATCACATGTCGGAATCGATGGTTTTCAGATTTTCAGAACTGCTTGGGAAGGAGGACAAGTGGATCAAGAGAGGCTTTGTTCAGGTGGAAGGACATGCAACGGTCAATATGGTTTAGCTTAGTGTTCACAGGTTTTCTGACACCAGTACAACTTAGATGGCACTGCAAGACTCTATATACCTATCTGTCAGTATGACGCATTTGTTCCCTTGGTCAAAGGAAGTGAGCCTGGCCGCCTGACCTTCCTCGTACTTGACACCGATAAAGCAATTGGATCAGAAATGAACAGAATTGAGAAAACATGCAAAAAACACACATACAAGTGTTTCGCTGTTCAGGTGGGGAAAGATCCCCTCCATCAACAGTTTGCAATCCTAATCCTTGCACTCCAAAGCAAGTGCATGAACTTGGACAGCTCTATCAGCTTGGACCTTGCAACTTGCAAGGATTGAAGCCTCACTGTATTTTTATGATATGCAGAAATGGATGGTTGATGTCAAAAAAACAGCAATCTCATGATTCATGCTTTGACGAATGTCGATTCTCTCCCGCCTCCTCGGTGAGGTCATCGGCGACCAAGTCCGTCCAATACCTGGTGAGGTCATCCGCGCGCGGTTTAAACAAAGGCAATGCATTTTGGGAAAACGACTGGGCGACCTTGGAATGGACCACATGGACAGTTGTATAATGTCATTAAAGTACATACACAATAAAGTACATACACAATTGCTTATATACACAATATAAAATATATATTACAATCTATTGTACGAAGTATGTATTACTATAGCATAAAGGAAACGCCTCTTCCGTCGCATCCCGGAGATGAAGTGCCGCGCGTACTCCTTCGCCGATTCCTGGCACCAAAATGAATTCGAGCCATTTGCCCAGATCTGTGGAATGAACAACGAATATATATATAGGATGTCGTACATATATAAATGTATGTATGTATGTATGTATGTATGTATGTATGTAAAGTTAAAGTTCTACACAATTAAACCTAGATATCAGCCTTGCCAGACTTTGCTTGCATTTCACAGCATTCATCCTCCTTCAGTTTTCCCCCCTGCAGCATGCACAAACCCTCAAAAAAAAATAACAAAGTGCACCCTGACTACCCTGCGCAGTTTTGTGTCCGTCAGAATTCGACCCCACTGCTCCTGCGCTGGCTGACATTGCCCGAGGATTTGCCCGAAGAGCGCTGAATCCAAACACGCGATGCGCGAGACCTGGAAGAGCGCGTCCGGTCTCGACCGGCTCCGGTCGTTGGACCGACGACTGGGGATCCAACGACGTCCGAAAACCGTTTTCAGGGGACACGGTATGGAGAGGTGATTTGGTTTCGTCGTACATCTTTCTAGAGAGGTTATAGAGTCTGCAAGAAAAATAGGTCAGTCCCGGCAGATATGAAGAGATCCATTCTACCTCAGAAATTGGTGCTTGGAAGCGGAGTCCCAGCCTGCGGGGTTGCCATTTGCGCGAATCAATACCGAACGGAATCCCAAACTGAACACCACTCCACCCTAGAACCAACAAACCCAAACTGGATTCCTTTCAAGTTGGGTTTGCTAAGAGGCAAAATAATCTAACAGAATCCAAGAGGTGCTGGATGGTGGTTCTGATGATTCAGGTTCATTTTGCTTCATCGGTTCTTCGGCTCCTTGAGCAGGGCTGGCAGCTCTTCGAACCAAGAATGTTACACGGTGATCGGAGGTGTTCGAGTTGCAAGAAATCCATGAGCTGTGATCAGTTTTGCTGAACATCGCAGTTTTCGTCAGAAGTCCTCAATTTGCACCGCAAGACTTCAATCCACAAGAACAAGATGCAATCACAGCCCAACTAACCAACTTTCCCCAGTGAGCATCGCTCCAAAAGTTCCACCATGTTCCACCACCCCCCAAAGCAAGGGGTTAACGGCCCGGACTCTCCGCATTTGCGTGCGCGCAACATCCGCTGCCAGGGCACATCTTGAGCTAAAAGATCACCCAAATAGACCCACGGTGTCCACAAACACATCCTCACCCCAAACGTGTCGATGGAGCCAATTCTGTTGCTGGACATTAGATGGTTTGGCAGTTGGCCAAAAAAGAATGACTTTACTTCGAGCACTCCCCGCCTGACGAGGGGTGACCCAATATGATGGTTTATGGAAGGGTGTTGTGAACCGGTCCTGTTGGGTCGGAAGCAAATACTAGTGCAGTATATGTATGTATGTATGTATGTATGTATGTATGTATGTATGTATGTGTGTATGTAATGTATGTAATGTATGTAATGTATGTAATGTATGTAATGTATGTAATGTATGTAATGTATGTAATGTATGTAATGTATGTAATGTATG